TTACGCCTTGATATTATTGGCATATTTGACATTTTGCCTTTTTCTTCAGTCGAAACTCAGGAAGTGTCAAAAATTGAGTGAATGTCGACATACTGTTAGTTTAGGGCGCTTTCCATTCGACCAAAAATTCCGAAATTTTTGAAACGGGGCCCCGGCAGCTAGCAATTGATGTACGGCTTTTGTGTGATTATCAATTGATCATCGATTGATCGATTGTTTTTTCCGATGAACAATTTCCACCTATTGGACACCCTGGGATCAAATGGAACGGAACTTCCCGGTAAGAAATTTTAGAAAATTTGGGTATACCTCATGAGGTTTTCGTCTTTTCAGGAAATTCTGGAAACAGCTGTCCAATTCGCCACTGGAAATTTCTAGGAATACAAAACAGAAATTTTTGGTCAGGTACAGTGGAAAGCGTCCACTGAAAGCTCAAGACATGCCCCTGGTATAACCTGAAACTTTCAAAATCTTCGGAACATCTTCTGATATGGGTCAATGATTTTGAGTTCAACGACTTCAACCTACCCCCGTAGTCTCCCTCGCAGCCCCCTCGCAGCCGTTTTTAGTGTCGTCACGCAATGCTCCTAAACGACTATGGAGACCCAGGAGCTGTTAGTCGGGACGATGCGATATTTTCGGGCGAGCAATATTATGGGGCGAAAGTTACTTCAAGAGCGAAAGAGCCCGGGCTCTTCCGCTCTTGAAGTAATATCGCATCGTCCCGAGTAGCAGCCCATGGGTCTCCCAGGATGAACCTTCCCTCGCTTGGCGGGAAAAATTGTCAACTTCGAAGGAAAGATATTAGGCACGGTTACAAAGTAAACTGAAAAACAAGATGGCGGACGAACTCTGAACTTTCTGTACTGTTATTTTTCCTTGACATGCAACAACTATGCGACACAACAAATGGCGAGTACCAGTGAAAAAGATCGTAAGTTTTTTTATGGCGATTTAAGGCTGTTTCTTTACTATGTGAAGGGAGTTGAGGGATATAAGCTTCCTGATAAGGTTTTTAACACGATCGACAGAACTGCTTTGTTTTATTTGTTGCAGGAAAATGTCAGAAAATTTCTGTGTCCTTAATTGCTAAACGAAATATTTTAAAGAAAAACGAGAGATCTGCAGATGAAACGTAAGTAAGGGTTTGTTTGGTTTGTCATATTTCCAGGGATTGATATAAAAAGATAATTTTTTAAGCGCTTATAATTTAAGTTTATTAAAAAAAAAATGGATTTAGTCTGTTTGCACTCTATCTTTACTACTATTTGTTTTGTTATAGTGTTGTTTTATTATTCAGGGCTGCTGAATTGCTAAAGTTAAGTCACGTCCGTCTGGACCGTGAGCAGATAAGTGAAATTGACAACTTGGATTGCCTTGGACCTGTCACTAACCTATATTTACAAAAAGTGAGTCATATTGTACAATAATTTAATAACTTAGTCATTCGTTTTATGACCAAGGTCAAGAAAATTAAAATATATGTATGAAATTTATATTACGATTTATTTGATTATTTATAATATTTATAAATATATTTATTTTAATTTATTTGTAATTATGACAGAATGAAATTAGAAGAATTGAAAATCTTGACGTTCTTCCTAAACTGAGGTAAGATTTGGTTCTGACACTATTAGTCAGGTTCAATACTTACATTGAAATTTGTCAAAAAATATTGTTTACTGAATTACTAATAACTTTACTCTTTTATAGTGTAGTTATTAAATTCTACTTTTTCCATCTATAGATTCCTGACATTAGCTGAAAACAAAATAATCAAGGTGGAAAACCTGAAGATACTTACTAATTTACAGTTCTTGGATCTCTCAGATAATCAGATTGAAACTTTTGAAGCAGGTTTGAAACTCTCTCTAATGATTTCTTTTTTTGAGAAACAGTTTTATTACTCTTTTAAATTTTTCAGTTTTTAGTCTTGTAAATAGCATTTTAAATCTTAAGCGAATATTATGATATAATACACACTGTATGTTATTCACTTTTTGTCAGCAAAGTAAAAGCAAAGTAAGTCACAGATTCAACTTTAATTTTAACTTGCAATCATTTCTTTCTTTCTTGTTCTCATCAGGGAAATTCCCAGTAAGTCTAATTATCTTACTGTTGAAAGGAAATCCCTGCTCTCAACATGAGGACTATAAGTAAGTTTACCTCCAATATTAATTAGTTAAATAACCAATCAAAAAATAGTCATCTATTAATTAATTAATGATAACAATAATAATAGGACTGAGTGGCGTGGACAGTTGCTTTGAGTGTGATTTGACCAAGGAACTCAAGGAAAGGAATTTAATATTCAAATAATATTATATTCTGTCCAAGAAAGAGTGGGTGTAATATGAGATGCTGTCCAATTACAGGCATGGTGTGGACAGTGTCCAATTGCGATTACAATTTAAGCTAAAATCACACCTTTTTAAAGCCAATCAGATTTGTGAATTTTGTTATAGTTTTGATTAGTTAATTATTAGACTAATTGCATCAGTGAGCTACATGTAGTGTAACATAATTTCTTTTGCATTTACAATTTCTTTACAATGCAGAAGAAAATTGCTTGAGGCCCTTCCCACTTTACACCAGCTTGATGGGGAAGAAATAACAAGACAGGATAGACTGGAAGCAGGGTGTGCTGTGTAAGTGAGATCCAAGTTGCAATGATTGTCATCGTCTTTCATGATGACATTGTATGAATGCCAAAACCAGGTCTATGTCTTGCCTCTAATATATTAGAGAGCTTAAGCAAACCATGATGACAACGGCAACAAGAACGTCACCTAACAAAATGTATAATGACCGAAACAATGGCTGTGCACGTGCATTATAAATCTTAGTTTGTACACTCTGCACAGTCCTCTGCAAACCAACATTGTGAAATGACCAAGTTCTGCATATTTTGAAGAATGTAAGCCATGACAACTAATTTTCTGTTCTTTCCTCTGGTATTGTTCACTGGTATTAAATCTTTAGTTTGAGTAGGGTCTTAGAATGCCGAATGTACTGAACAGATCTAGATAATTGCAAAATTCAAAGGTCAAATATAATATCCTCTTTTGGGTGTAGTTTCTAGTGTAGTCGTTATCATTGCTTAAGTTTGTTATCACTACTAATAGAAAGTACCATAATGATTCTATTTACCACGCACCTTCCAATGAATGCAAAAAAGGACCAGTTACCAGGGAAACTTTGTACTTGGTTAAGTATAACAATGATGGAAATGGTGTCTTCAAATAATTTAGCAGTGAAAGTGAGTCAGATGAGGAAAGTGACAATGCAGAAGAAGATGAAACAGAACTTGAAAGTGGAGAACATAAACAAGGTAACATGCACAATCTGTTACTACAGGTTGTGAGATCCCAAATGTTGATAACTATGTACTAGCTATTTTGACTCTGTTTGGAACTTAAAACACATCCATTGGTAAATATAACAGTGGAAAATTGTCATTAGATGTAAGCAATATTACTTTTCTCAGGTTCTCTACAGCAACACTTTAATGACATGCTGGTGCGAGCAAAAATAAGGACGATCAAGGTAAGTTATATTGCTTGCTGTGTGATATTTCTATTACAACTGCAGAGTATCTCCTCTGCTTTTGGAGTTGTCAGAGAAAAAAAATCTTGACTCAGTTTTAAAAATAATTATCTATAGCCTATTACACTGATAGCCATTTAGTTAATCCAGTGTCAACGCAGTTTCATACAATGTCAACAAAATACCCCCAGCTGATGACTTTTGACAATTTCTTGTGGTCATCTCCTAGGCAATACATGTACTTAATTCATTTTAGGCTTTAAAATTTTTGTTATTGATTGATTTTGAGAGGACCCAAAATCAGCAAACAACCCCTAGAATGCATTTGTGATTGCCGACTTGCATAAACAGAACATTGGAACGGTGTGGATTGTCTATTTTCAACTCTGGAGTAAACACTACTTGCCAAAAAGTTTGGACAATTTATTTTGGACATTTAATTTTCAACACTTTTTTAGTTCTTTTTGGACAATTTTGGACACTTTGCCAAAACTTGACTTAGGTAAATGTATGCCTACAAAACTCATATTAGACTAAATCAACATCAAAAGATGTAGTTTTACTGCATGAACCCTCAAGATTTTAAGGATACACCGACGAGAAAATAACTCAAATATTGCTGTCAAGCTGTTACGTATGTCAATCAGTGTCTTGCTAGGTTTTGCTCCATAAAGCTTGGCAGAAAGGAAACTAAAAACTTTGGAGGTACTGCAAAGTTTTGTACTGTACAGTAAATATTTCAGAAGGTTAAAAATTTCAGACAGTTTCATTTTCAGACACGTTTTTATGTCCAAAAATTAAAATTGTCCGAAATTTTTTTGCAAGTAATGTAAGGAGAAAATAGATGTTGATATTATTGAACAACCTCATGTCACTTTTTTTTTCCACAGGAAGAAAAAGAGCATGAGAAGAGAATGGAACAGTTGGCCAGCATTCGAGATCTCCAGTCACAAAGGACCTCAAGCAGAGCATCATCTAGGCGTTAACAAATTTTTAACTATGGGAATGAGTTTTTTTTATTTCTGCCACACCATCAAGAATAATGAGCTCAAAAGTCTGGAGTAGCACCATGAAACTTGCTAGTGGGTTTGTGTTGAGTTGGAGTGGCATGAGTGTGATAACAGTTTAAAGTCTCAAATTTTGAAAT